CCTTACTGCCAAAATCAGAGATAACTGTCGAATAAAATTCCTATATAGTAATGTTTATTTGATACAATTCAATGTTTATTCCATATATCAATACTTCGCAGCTTGTTTTGCGACATTCTATCAACCATGGAAGAGGACTGTCAGAAATATGCTATTATGGATATAAATAATCTGATAACAAAAACCGGGTTGTTCTCCTTTTATATGACTAGCATGATCATGTCCTCATATCTGGTGTCTGCGGTTTGTTATCTTGCCGGCGCTATTGCATTTCAAGGAACAAACGATTCAATGTCTCGAGAGCTTCTTTTGAAAATGGATTTACCATTCGAAACGAGTAAATCCCCGAATTACGAACTTGTGGTTACCACACAATTTATTATTCATTTCTCAGCGGCCCTTGCGTTCGGGACGTTCACTGCCCTGCTTTTCATGATGGTGAGTATAAATTTTATGCTCCTGTTGAGCAGTTATAGATATATTTTTTGTTCAAAGTGTAAATCATGGACAAATATTTATTTTTAATACGATTACCGTACTAAACAAAACTTTTGTTGCATAAAATTTTATGGCCCTACTGAAGCTATCGTTAATAGTCTTATAGCATTGAAATTATTATTTTTAGATACTGCATTTAGGGTGTCAAATCGACATAATGTGCCAGAATCTAACAGATGTTTTTCCTAAAAATGAAAACAAGTTAAAATTTTTTATTATTAGATATCAAGAAATCATTACTTTTGCAGAGAAAATTGAGAAACTTTTTACGTATATAGCTCTTAGCCAACTTGTATCAAATACAGTTAATACTTGCTGCGAAGGATTCCTCATTGTACTTGTAAGTAATGACTATCCGATATGCACATACGACACTTTACTTTTTCACTGCGTCATGTACGAAATGGATGTTACAGGCTGTAAACGATGAGAGTGGACTTGCTATTGATATACTCATCAAATCTATTTTATTTTACATAGTTATTTGCTTAGAAGTTTTCATATATTGTTTCGCTGGGGAATATCTTCGCACTAAGGTTGTTGTATACAATATCGTTTTGTTTCTTATTTGCACTATATCAGACACATTGTACTGAAATAACATAAAATATTTTGTAAACGAATAATTGTTTTGGAAAAAAAATAGCTGTAAGTGCAGTTGGTACCAATTATTTCGTTATTTCTTCTTATAAATCTTCCACGATTTTTATTAATTTTATTTTATTTTATTAAATTTGTAAATATATATAATTCATATTTAGACCAAGGCGTTTAAGTGGAGACAGTGGTGCACGAGAGAAATACGTTTAAGATAAAGTTGAACGTTCGTAAGCAAGAACGAAATGAAGAAGAGATAAATCCCCTCAAGGCTTATTACGTCTTGTTAAAATAGTTTTTCTCTGTTCTTAAGCAAAGAACATTCATTCAAACAAATCTGTTTACATTTGTGCCAATTTGTGAAAGTGAATTGTGTTTGAGGTACACAAAGCGAGGAACCGTAAAAAATATATTGCACTCGCAAGTGTGCCAATATCTCTTTGACTTTGAAATGTTTATTGTTCTTTCTTCGTTTCCTTGAATCGAATCGTTCAAAGTTCTATAAGTATACACTAGTTCTCTATGTGAAAAAGTACTACAAGGCATATGTATTTCGTATTAACATATCGCTTCGATGTGTAAATATAATTAAAAGAAAGTTATTAATACTTTTCATTTAAAATATCTGTTTCGTTATTAGAGCCAATTAATCGGCGACACTGCGTACAATATGCTCTGGTACGATTTACGTCCAAACAAGAGTCGACTTCTGATACCTGTTATATTAAGGTCTCAAAAAGGTTTCACATTGACTTTCGGAAAATTTTCAAACCTTTCCCTGGAAAGCTTCACAGGCGTAAGTTATTTATTCTCTATTTATTTAGATCATATATTTTAACTGGCATGTAAAAACTACTTGTAAAAGCAATGGTTAAAGGAATTTTCAGTAATCTTAGGGTAAGTCACGCGCGTGTAAAGTACAATGGCTGTAAAATGTATTGGACACACCATTATATTTATTACAGCATTCACATACTAGTTCATTATTAAAAATCCAATGAAATTTCGTATCATTTAGCAGTGCTATCAGGCGAATACAAAAATTTAATACTATGGAAATGAAATTTATAGTACCTGATTAAAACATGCTGTATTGTAAAATAAGGGCGTGAGCCAATACTTTTTTTAGGCACTGGAAGTAATACAAGGAGTAATATTACTTATTATTTTACATAGGTAGTATATTCGCATATAATCGTGACCATTGGAATCTTGAAAGTGAAGCCAATACCATATGAGTTTCTCTCGTAATTTTCGATCATGTTGCAATTTTTTGCAATAAGTATATCAGCTTTTGCCTTCGTAATACATAATACGTGGAGTTCGTTTCGGCTATCAGAGTAATTCGAAACTCATAGCTCCTTGTAATTTAATGTTGTTATGTGTATATTCAAAACATGAGAGTACATGGAATGTTCTTCTGGCAAAACAAGTGATTTCCGACAGGCGCGAGAATAGGAACATGTGTCTCTTGCAAAAGGGATATTTTAAAATAAATAATTACGATATCACTGATACCAATTAAGTATAAAATATAGTTTTTCATTATTTTCAATTAGATCAAAATTCGTTTCATCAGAAAAGATATTATTAGTTTTAATACGTATACATAGGTAATAGGTTTCTTGTACTATTTCCTTTATATGATGCTTTTTTATATTTAATATTAGTCAAAATTCCTTTAGTCTTTGCTTTTGCGCAAAAGTAAAATTCTATCTAGTCGGAAACTTTTTCACGTTACTGTCTGTTTGATTTTCGACGGAAAATTGTGCTTTTGCTTTGTCAAAATTGTCGCTATTCAAGGGACACACTTTTATGATATTGTTTTATCTTTTACATTTATAGATTATGAAGGTTTCAGCGTCATATATGTCGGTACTTCTGGCATTATACTGAGAAATATAAATGGAAATTTCGATGTGGAATTATCGTATCAAGTGTGCAATCGATTTAAATCTAGTTATTGTTGTCTGGATTACTATAAAAAAAAATTACAAAAAGAAAAAGAATATCATTGTTGTATTAATAATGAAAAATAAATAGTATATATAGTGTTAAGGTGTACTTATTTAACATATGGTATACCTCGTATTTGATAATTTTCGTTTGTAAATATTTATGACGATGCGTTTAAAGAGATGTTGTTTAATAGGACAGCGTATTTATAACTATTACGAAGGAAGATATGTAAAGTGATGATAAATAAATGACAACAATCTAAAGATTCTTTTGTAAAGTCATTTATCGTTGATATCGTGTGTATCTCTAAAATATTCTCGACTCCTTTATGAATTATTCTGATCATTACGAGAGGTCACTATGAAAAATGGTAAAAGTGTATAGTAACTGTAAGTTTCTATGAAGTCGACACGCAATTAAGTGTATATATGGGTAAACATTCGAAATTGTCAAAACAGGCTGTCTTGAAAATTAAGCCATAGACAAAAATCTTATCTTTTCCTGAATTTTTTTCTACGCTCTCGATTCGTCTTTTATAATTTGATATAAGATAGCAAGTAATATTTTGAAAAAGTAACAAATAATTGAGTGAAAAATTACATGACTCTAAAAATAAGATATCATTGAACATAGACGAGTATAAAAAAGTTTTTGAACATATTTACGCACCTCCAAATGGGGAATACTTAGGTGCTACGATGTAGAACGTTGTCTACAAAGCTATGTTACCGAACATCGGTGAAATACTATACGCGTATTATATTATGTTAGATATTATTTAGATACTTCATGTTGGCGGACAAATAGAAATATTACACGAAGCTCTAGAAAATATTCCTGTCAAAGATAGAAAACATGGATCATAACGAAATGTCATTAAATCTTTAACTGATCATCATTACCGGATTATCCTTAATTCGGAATATATCGAAAAATTATTCTCGTATATTGCTTTGATGCAATTATTATGTAATACAATCGTTATATGTTGTATAGGTTTCTTAATAATAGTTGTGGGTGATAGTGATGCATGCGTGTGGAAATTACATGTAAAGTCTTTGTATACAAGGAGGAAGCCCTAAAATAGTTTAAGCAAGAGGATATAATTAATTTTATGTGAAATGATATTAAACACGATTAGCCCGTCTGTTAAATTTGGCCTTCATTTTTGTGGTGTCTGGCCTGGAACACCATTTCACTTCCTACATAAGTTATGTTGGGTGATAGCGATAATTACGCTTCAGACTTATCAATACAAATATATCGTTATACATTATAACACCGATACTCTTATGAACATAGCGGAAAATTTGAGCATCGCCGTGCCTTTCAGTTTAGTGTTAATCAAATTATTTGTTACTTGGACGAATTATGGGTAAGTTACCCTGATTTCAATGGAGATTCATGAGTAGAAATTCTATCTATACGTGCATCATAGTTTTCGTGTATCTTCTGTTTTAAATATTGATTTTTTTACTTTTCGAGCAGTATGGTTTTTAATATGATGAGATTTTACAGATATACACAATGATCTCGCACGAAAGTTTATATTTTTATGAATACAAGTATTTTTTGAATGTTATTTATTTAATTCTTGCCTTTCGGCTTCGAACAGTTCCCAGCAATCAACCTTGCAAGCGTACATAAGCTTTACACAATACAAGCATAATATTTTTCTTCCTCACATTAACACTTTATGAATACAGGTAAAAGAGTAGAATTTAATTAGAAATTTGTTTCACTACTGTTGTTGCTGCGGTTTGGATATATATTGTCGCATATTATCCGTTTCACGCATTTTTGCACCTTTAAATTTTTGGAGTCGTCTCTCTAGCTGCTTCAGATTGAGAGAAAAAAACGAAAATGTGAATCGTTCAATGCAACTCACTCAGTGGAATTTAAAATGAAAGCTGTTTTGTAGTGTTGAGTATTTTTATATGTTTACGTTGTTTTGTCATGAATTATTCCGAGTTTTGAATTTAAGAATGTAACATATAAGAATTCATTTTTACGTGCAAAACCATCTCACAACACTACCTTACTGCCAAAATCAGAGATAACTGTCGAATAAAATTCCTATATAGTAATGTTTATTTGATACAATTCAATGTTTATTCCATATATCAATACTTCGCAGCTTGTTTTGCGACATTTTATCAACCATGGAAGAGGACTGTCAGAAATATGCTATTATGGATATAAATAATCTGATAACAAAAACCGGGTTGTTCTCCTTTTATATGACTAGCATGATCATGTCCTCATATCTGGTGTCTGCGGTTTGTTATCTTGCCGGCGCTATTGCATTTCAAGGAACAAACGATTCAATGTCTCGAGAGCTTCTTTTGAAAATGGATTTACCTTTCGAGACGAGTGAATCCCCGAATTACGAACTTGTGGTTACCACACAATTTATTATTCATTTCTCTCTTACAAAATGTATACAGTAATTATTAATTATACGATATGATTATCGAAATTAGTTATTTCGCTAGGTTGGGCTAACTCATAAAGCGGGTCAAATATTTGAATTTAAGATGAAGTAACAGATGAATTTGTAAGGTCCACGAATTGATCTGCACGCTTAATAATAAGATTTAAAGAACAACGTTCATTAATTGTGAGACTCAGAATGGATAAAATTTAATACTTTCAAAGATAGTCGTTTAGTAAATTCAAGATCATTTCAATATTTCGTAAATAACCACCTTTTGTAAATAAAACATTTCGTTGCTAGGACGCATATTTTCGAAGATATCTAGAGTTCTGTTTGTTGCATAGTTCTTCCTAAATAAAATGTTTTTTCTAACAGATGAGCCAAAAACTTTTAATTGAATGAAAATAAACGTATGTCGTGGTAGAAGACTGCTTTGATAGGATAACACGAAATAGTTCTTGCGTATTTTTTCACAAAGCGCGCGATAAAGAAAGGGCAGCGTTTTTATACGTACTTGTGAAAAATTTATATTGATTTCGTTTGAAATATGTTTGATAATGTCAATATCAAATTGCTTATGTAATTACAGATTATGTATTAACAAAGAAAGGCCGAAAACTTTCGATGTCATAATTTGATACTGACGTATTATATGATTTCAAAAATACATACACGCATATAGATACGCATATTCCGTATACTGTATTACTTGTTATCACTTATATCCTTTTAACTTTTTAGATTCTAAAAGCTTCTGCATCAATAATGTTTATTTGATACAATTCAATGTTTATCCCATATATCAATACTTCGCAGCTTGTTTTGCGACATTTTATCAACCATGGAAGAGGACTGTCAGAAATATGCTAATATGGATATAAATAATCTGATAACGAAAACCGGATTGTTCTCCTTTTATGTAACTAGCATAATCATGTCCTCGTATCTGATGTCTACGGTTAGTTATCATGCCGGCACTATTGCATTTCAAGGAACAAACGATTCAATGTCTCGAGAGCTTCTTTTGAAAATGGATTTACCTTTCGAGACGAGTGAATCCCCGAATTACGAACTTGTGGTTACCACACAATTTATTATTCATTTCTCTGCAGCTCTTGCGTTCGGAACGTTCACTGCCCTGCTTTTCATGATGGTGAGTATAAATTTCATGCTTCTGTTGAGTAGTTTTAGATGTATTTACCTTAGAATATGGTTATTTAAGAAACTGTTTTTGTTCAAAGTGTAAATTATGGCAGAATATTTATTTTTAATTCGATTACCACATTAAACTAAACTTTTGTTGCATACAATTTTATGACCCTGGTGAAGCTATCGTTAATTATGCTATAGCATTGAAATTATTATTTTTAGATACTGCATTTAGGGTGTCAAATCGACATAATGTGCCAGAATCTAACAGATGTTTTTTCTAAAACTGAGAACAAGCTAAAATTTTTTATTAGTAGATATCAAGAAATCATTGCTTTTGCAGAGAAAATTGAGAAACTTTTTACGTATATGGCTCTTAGCCAACTTGTATCAAATACAGTTAATACTTGCTGCGAAGGATTCCTCATTGTACTTGTAAGTAATGACTATCCGATATGCACATACGACACTTTACTTTTTCACTGCGTGATGTACGAAATGGATGTTACAGGCTGTAAACGATGAGAATGGACTTGCTATTGATATACTCATCAAATCTATTGTATTTTACATAGTTATTTGCTTAGAAGTTTTCATATATTGTTTCGCTGGGGAATATCTTCGCACTAAGGTTGTTGTATACAATATCGTTTTGTTTCTTATTTGCACTATATCAGACACATTGTACTGAAATAACATAAAATATTTTGTAAACGAATAATTGTTTTGGAAAAAAAATAGCTGTAAGTGCAGTTGGTACCAATTATTTCGTTATTTCTTCTTATAAATCTTCCACGATTTTTATTAATTTTATTTTATTTTATTAAATTTGTAAATATATATAATTCATATTTAGACCAAGGCGTTTAAGTGGAGACAGTGGTGCACGAGAGAAATACGTTTAAGATAAAGTTGAACGTTCGTAAGCAAGAACGAAATGAAGAAGAGATAAATCCCCTCAAGGCTTATTACGTCTTGTTAAAATAGTTTTTCTCTGTTCTTAAGCAAAGAAGATTCATTCAAACAAATCTGTTTACATTTGTGCCAAATTGTGAAAGTGAATTGTGTTTGAGGTACACAAAGCGAGGAACCGTAAAAAATATATTGCACTCGCAAGTGTGCCAATATCTCTTTGACTTTGAAATGTTTATTGTTCTTTCTTCGTTTCCTTGAATCGAATCGTTCAAAGTTCTATAAGTATACACTAGTTCTCTATGTGAAAAAGTACTACAAGGCATATGTATTTCGTATTAACATATCGCTTCGATGTGTAAATATAATTAAAAGAAAGTTATTAATACTTTTCATTTAAAATATCTGTTTCGTTATTAGAGCCAATTAATCGGCGACACTGCGTACAATATGCTCTGGTACGATTTACGTCCAAACAAGAGTCGACTTCTGATACCTGTTATATTAAGGTCTCAAAAAGGTTTCACATTGACTTTCGGAAAATTTTCAAACCTTTCCCTGGAAAGCTTCACAGGCGTAAGTTATTTATTCTCTATTTATTTAGATCATATATTTTAACTGGCATGTAAAAACTACTTGTAAAAGCAATGGTTAAAGGAATTTTCAGTAATCTTAGGGTAAGTCACGCGCGTGTAAAGTACAATGGCTGTAAAATGTATTGGACACACCATTATATTTATTACAGCATTCACATACTAGTTCATTATTAAAAATCCAATGAAATTTCGTATCATTTAGCAGTGCTATCAGGCGAATACAAAAATTTAATACTATGAAAATGAAATTTACAGTACCTGATAAAAACGTGCTTTATTATAAAATAAGGGCGTGAGCCAATACTTCTTCTAGCCACTGGAAATAATACAAGGAGTAATATTACTTATTATTGCATATAGGTAATATATTCGCATATAATTGTGAGAGCCATTGGAATCTTCAAAGTGAAGCCAGTACATTATGAGTTTCTCTCGTAATTTTCGAAGATGTTGCAATTTTTTGCAATATGTATATCAGCTTTTGCCTTCGTAATACATAATACGTGGCGTTCGTTTCGGCTATCAGAGTAATTCGAAACTCATAGTTTCTTGTAATTTAATTTTGTTATGTGTGTATTCAAAACATGACAGTACATGGAATGTTCTTCTGGCAAAACAAGTGATTTCCGACAGGCGCGAGAATAGGAACATGTGTCTCTTGCAAAAGAGATGTTTTAAAATAACCAATTAAGCATAAAATATATTTTTCCATTATTTTCAATTAGATCAAATTTCGTTTCATCAGAAAAGATTTTATTAGTTTTAATACGTATACATAGGTAATAGGTTTCTTGTACCATTTCTTTTATACGATTAATATTAATACGATTAATATTAGTCAAAATTCCTTTAGTCTTTGCTTTTGCGCAAAAGTAAAATTCTATCTAGTCGGAAACTTTTTCACGTTACTGTCTGTTTGATTTTCGGCGGAAAATTATGTTTTTATTTTGTCTAAATTATTGCTATTCAAGGGACACTTATCATTATATTTTAGGGACAATTATTTTATCTTTTACATTTATAGATTATGAAGGTTTCAGCGTCATATATGTCTGTACTTTTGGCATTAGACTGAAAGATATAAATGGTAACTTCGATGTGGAATTATCGTATCAAGTGTGCAATCGATTTATCTCGAGCTATTGTTACCTGGATTATTATAAAAAAAATTACAAAAGGAAAAAAAATATCATTGGTCTGTTAATAATGAGAAATAAATAGTGTATATAGAATAAATATTAATGAAAATTGAATTAAAAAAGTAAATTAAGTTTATCTCCTCGCATCAATAATTTTATTATTTTCAATTGTTATTTATATTATGATATACCTAAAATATGTATCTTTAATCTCGTTTTCAAATTTATCTCATTACGCCACGATGCAATTTTTCATTTATTATATTTTTTTAACGCCGATTGTTCAGTTTCAAGAACTGAACTACTTGTTATATCATTTCTCATATTATATACTTACAGTTACATATTACTCTTGCGGCTGATCAAATTTTGCGACTGTTTGCCAATAAATCTGAACATTAAGGTCATATTATGCATTAGAACCTTTCGAAGAGAAATATTTGCAACAACGACATCATCTTTCCACAGTGGCAATGAACTTTTTATTAACAATTCCCTGCACAAGATTCGCGAACCGTTACAATACTAGAAACATGAATAGTCTTATGCAAAAAACTGTCATAAAACACATATACAGCGATTCTAGAAAGATTTTCCAACAGAATCACAACATCATTTAACACAGTATATAAAATACACGTATTTACTAATTTCGCTGAATGCGTAATATATGTCTATAAAATTGCGATGAGTCAGCGGAGATAAATGTAAGTTCGTAAACAACGAATTTCCGTATAGCTAACATTGTACTTTTTATGATGCAAGGGTAGAGGGCGTGAACGTTTTTTAACTTTTTCTTTATTTTATTTTCCTTTATTTTTTCAAGTGTACGAAGATCGGCAGTTTGAGTTAGTAGGATTAGCTTTTTTATATTTTAGATGATTAGAAATTACCATTGATACCAGTTTTGTAAATAATCTCTGAGAAAAATAATTATTTTTCAACACTTTGTGATAAAAGGTGTGAGTGAGCGTCTGTTTTTAAAGTAAAAATTTTTACAAAAGGAGTTGGTTGGTTGAAAAGACGCCGATAAAATCACATACAGTTACTTATTTTTCTGATCGCTTTTATAACGATACCAATATAACGATAGCAATATCATCTTCCATACCTAAGGATTTTTTACAATTCATAAATCAAATGAAAAATTATGTGGACAAAATCAGTGCCAAATAATTCGCACGTGTGTAGAGTCGCTCGTGAATGAAATATCTAATATTGTTGAGAATTGTGGATCTTTGGAGCCGAAATAATGTTATAGGAACATTAAATCTATACTGAGTATTAATATGAAAATAATGAAATATTTATTACATGGACGATTCTTTACATATTTATCGATACATACTTGCACGCGTCTCAGCACCTTCTACTATACCCGACTGTAAACCGACTCTTCGACGACCCTTAACCGACTGACTGTTTATATTCCTTCGTTCCGAGACGCTGCGCACACACACATACTTCCACACACTGATATATACATATAAGTATTTCTACTACGCACTTAACTCAGTGCAGCACAAAAAATTACACATATCTCAACAAATATGTTGTAAATATATATCACGCACGTATAAATGTATTTATATGGATATCGAACATATCTTACCTCTGTTGAAAAACTAATTTATCTTCTTCTTATGATACAATAGTTTTGTATAAAATTGTTTGATATGCCTGTCCACCACTATTGAAACGAGTATATTTTTATTCACATTTTCTATCTTTTTTTTCTCATTTTAATATGAATATTATATGGATATTGTTCTTTCTTTATCGAATCTCTTTCTTCATAAATCTTCTCTTCCTTCGTATTCTTCGGACAATCGTGAAATGAACTTTCCCGCTACTACGAACTTTCGATGTCCTGTGGTTTAGCAGAAAATGTTGGATGTTGAAAGAAAATTGGGTAAACTTTTCCTCTTCCTTTAATCATATATTTATGGCCTGTACTCGTACGAGTCACAACATCGGTTATACTTATCTGTATTCTTCGTTTCCCATGAATACTTTATAGACATATAGCCAATGTGCAAGAAGTAACATCAGAGACGTCTAGCAAATTTTTTCAACATACAGCGTTCAGTCTTCTATGCATAAACAGTTTAGCGCAAATACTTTCCATTGTATCATAGAGAAGGAAGAAAGACCGAATAATTAATCATTTCTAAAGCCGAACTTATCGGTCAGTTCGCTTAAAATGATACACAGTAAAAGTATCAGTCGGCCGGTAGTAATTGGCTTACGATTGACTGGAATTTGGCCAAATACATCGTATGAAATTATCGCCCGATGTATTTGGGTAGCTATCATCATGCCTGCACAAGTATTTCAGTATCGGTATATAATGAAGAACGTTAGTTCTGGAAACTTGGCAGATGTAATAGAAAGTGCGAGCACTAGTTTGCCTTATACTGTACTGCTATTTAAATTAATTAGCTTTTGGATTAAACGCGGGTAAATATCAATTCCTTTCTTACGCGCTTACTATTTAACATAGGAAACATAAGTTGATCGTGGACTTTTACGGAAATTTATATTTTTTTGTAAGAAATTCTTCTACCTACCAAGTATTGTATTGTAGAAAGGACTGTACCTTGGATATTTTACATAGTCTCATATTACGCATACTCTGTGTAATTTTGCACTTTTAAATTTCCTGTAAACGTATAAAAATGAAAGGTCTAATGAAAAGTTCAAAGGTCGTCGAGTTGAACTTCAAGAGAAATTAATTGGGAAATTATCTGTAAAATTTTGTTTTATCAGTCTATGTGCTACATGTCATAATATTTTTCAGAATATTTAAAAACATGTTGGTGGGAATGTATTACGATTGGATCAACTCTTCCGCTGATAAAGCTAATGTAGATGTTATGACGAACAAAGCTGAACTTGCATACCGTTGCTCGTATTCGATTTTTGGCGTATATATTATTTCCGTTTTTATGTATGCCGGTGTGTTTCTGCAATTTATCCGTCAAGATCAAGACGATTTCAATATAACGTCCCGACAGTTATTAATGAAAATGGACCTTCCGTTTGCATATTATGAAAGTCCTGTGTATCAATATGTATTTCTTGTACAATTCCTTCAACTGTTAGCTGTTGGAATTGGCATGGCTATATTAAATGCTTTGATAATTACATTGGTAAGTGTGTCTTGATATAGTAATCGAAAACGCATTCATTTCACAGTTTATTAACAATCTGTCACACATACAGTGAGTACAAAAAGTATTTGTACGTCGCTGCACTTATTGATTTTGAGAAATTGTTTAATACTCGAAAATGAAGCTCAGCCTTTACGAAATGTTTTAAATACTTTTTTAGAAACAAAGCTACGTGTATGAAGTAAACATGCTGCTTTGTTTTAACAAATTGTATAGCATAGGCGTTTAATAGTAAGTTTAATTTGCTAAAACTCCTGGTATATTTCTGAGTTCGGATCTCCCAGTTTTCATATGAAAAGCGAACTTTTATTGTTTTCTTTAGACGTTGAATTACCAAATGAAGAAGTAATTTCTATTTTCTACACGTGATGTACATATAATATTTTTATGCATATATTAGCTGAATCAAGTACAAATCAGTTAAGATTTAGTGATATGCTCTGTGATGATTTTTAAGATATACTGCATGCATTATAGAAGAGCGTATCTGTAATAAATATGAAAGAAAAAATGTAAAGTGCTGATAAATGGAAGATGACAAAAAAAAAAGATATTGGTTTGTAGTAAACACATGTGTACACGTATTTGTCTTTTTTTTGCAAAATTACTTATTCTTGATATATTGTATATCCTTGAAAAGTATCGACTCTTTTAACAATTATTTTGATCGTCACGACTGAAAGATGTTAAAAGCATATAGGAATTGTAAGACCTATGCAATCGATACGCAATTAAGTTTATACTAATTTTCAAAATTGTCACAACATATTTTCTAAAAAATTAAACCTTAAACAACAAATCTTCGTTTTGAATTTGTTTTGGTATTCGAATGTAAGATAATAAACAATATTTTGAAAGAGTAACAAATGAACGAAGGAAATACTCAAGTTTTATAATATAGTAGATACTTTATTTTGTAAAATTATGTTGCTAAAAGTTGCTGAGATATTATATGTGTATTATATTGTAACAAGTATTATTTAGATATTTCATGTTGGTGGACAAATAGAAATGTTACACGAAGCTCTAGAAAATATTTCTATCAAAGATGAAAAACATGGATCATTGCGAAATGTCATTAAATCTTTAATCAATCGTCATTATCGGATTATTTTTAATTCGGAATATATCGAAAGTTTATTCTCGTATATTGCTTTGGTCCAGCTATTGTGTAATACAGTAGTCATGTGCGGTATAGGATTCTTAATAATAGTCGTAAGTAATATTTACAAATATTATTTTTCATTAATTGTTCTTATTTAAATTATAATTTTATTTATATTTCACATCTAATTTTTTTATATTGATTTATGGTTACGATTACAATTATAATTTGTACTATTCTTTATATCGTATTGTAGGCGATTAATTCACACGGGGATGTAGGAATAGTTGTGAAAATTGTATTATTTTATATTGCTATAATGTTGGAAGCATTTGTTTTTTCCTACGCTGGGGAATATCTCAGTAGTAAAGTTAGTATGTAATTAAAATATATGCATACACGATGTCCTACAAAATGTATATAGTAATTATTAATTATAAAAATCGAGATGCGTATAAATGTTTATTATTTTATTTTTAGAGCCTGTCAATTAGCGCTTCAGCTTACGGTTCTTCTTGGTATTTACTAGAACCTAGAAACAGACGTGTCGTGATTCTTCTTATGATAAGATCACAAAGACGTTTGACAATTACTGCTGGGAAATTTATGGATTTGTCTATGTTCGGTTTTGCGAGTGTAAGCTTGATCTTTGTTACAATATAATAAAAATGTTTTTTCTAATAGGTGTTTCAAAAAATTTTTATTGAATAATAATAAACGTATATCGTGGTAGAAGAATTTACAATAATAATAATAATAATAAGATTCCACGAAGTAGTTCTTGCATATTTTTTAACGAAACTTTTGATAGAGTGAAGAACAGCTTTTTATATCTATTTGTTAAAAACTTTTTGATTAATTTTGTTTAAATTATCTTTCAATTATGTTTCATGATGTTATTAATTTTAATTATTAATTATGTTTCAATTATGTTTCAAATTACATATGTAGTTATGTGTCAATAAAACAGAAGGCGGAAGCTTCTTGAAAAAAAACATAAAAATACGCATATTTCGTGTACCGTATGTTGTCACTTTTATTGTTTAATTTTTTAGATTTTAAAAGCTTCTGCATCATATGTATCGGTATTGTATGCGAGGTACTGATTACAAAGGGACACATAGTAAGCAATGAAATAAGTATATCGTGTATGATATATATCATATATATCATAATTATATATTGAGAGACAATATACTAAAAGTAAGAACATCTAACTTCATGATTTTGAATTATTGCAAAATTACATACTGTATTAAAAAACTTGTTAAACTAGTATTAAATGTCGTCGAGGAAGACGTTATTTGATGTTGATAGTTTCTTTGCAGGTGAACACGTGAAGAATATAAAGGTCAGCTACATTTTTTAAATGCAATCACTGCGTTGAATTTTCTTTATGCGTTGTTCAATACATCTTATTATTTATAGGGAAGATATATAAAATTGACGACTTAACCTTATTTTTAAAATTACAAGCAATACAATTTTTTGCCAGAAATATCTCTATATCATACTATGTAAGCTACCTGTAGGAAACGTTCAGTATCGTTCATTCGCGCATCATTAGCTTATGATTAATTCGGTGCATCTTTAATGCATACATTACAGTTATGGAACCTAGATAGAAATTTATTTTGCCATTAGAAGATTTTCTAAATATATAGATTTAGATTTTAACATATATAGATTTTGCATACGTGCATATTTGGCTAATGAAAACAAAAACGTTCTAAATACTTTAATTATATACTTACTCGAGTTATACATTACGTTTAACGTAAACGTTCGAAGAGTTCGCCTCGTGGTTCAACAAGCTGCTGCACGCCTCAACATTGACTTCCGTACTGACTCAAAAGTGTCAGGTATTCTTCGAACAGCTTCAACTCTATTTTGCACTTTTTCTCACAGATCGTATATGTTGTTTACTCGCGTTAAATACACAATAAATTTTAAATGACCCCAAAACCAAAAACCCAATGGATTCGTCTCGCTCTATCCATCGGTTTGCCAGGGTAATGTTAAGAAATTCTTTTGCAGAAAGAACACGAGGAAAGCACTTTGAACAGTTTCTTTAGTCATCCATAACTTGAAACTAAGGTATACAGGACGGTATATCCATATATTCATATTTCGCATGTTCATATTTTTTACTTATATTAATATATAGATTTACCTCTTGCGCGCATGCATTTGCATGTATGAATAAAAGCTACGACTCCTAGAGATACTGTCCTGGAGGTGTCTGGCGGCAGAGCATAAGCAAAGTTGTGGCAGTTGCGACGCCTCGAGGCACTTGAAGGTATTTGACGGTAGCAGCAACGGAGTGTTTTTGTGCATGAAATTCTGTTCGAAATCGGTTAACGTTAGCGGAGTACGTTGAAATGCCTAGAAATTATGTAGTATTGGTTTGAGAAGCCACGATTAAGAAGGTATGTGTTCGGTATCGTAAAAGAATGCTGTGTCCAAGCGCAAATATAATAATGTTTGGGTAAGCATGGTTTCCAAGAGCGAGAAACATGCCACGTTGGTCGTACTAGCGGCAATGTATCGTCGTGATGATATAATGACAGATAGTCAACCGCTATTTAGTCTTGTTCACAATTTATAATTAGGCCGAGCTCTCCGGTAAGTACCTCTAGTCCTCTAGTAAGGCAGAATGCTTGAGCGAATGTTGGAAAAGTTGATAGCTGGCGATTGGAAGTCGCAGAGCTATGCGATGTCGATGATATGACTGTTTAGAGTTTAAAGGATGCGCGAGATAGTTCACCGATGGTAACCGATCCAACGTTGCATTGCCAAAGAATAGAAACTGTGTCCAAAGGATCTGGCCGCGTAGCGGGGAAGGCAATGGAACCTTTTTGTTAAACGGACTTAAATCACACGGCACTTGTTCCAGAATCTTGAGGGAGTAAACTTATCGCGACAAATTTCTAACATATAAAAGAAGCACGCGTATTAATCAGAAACTCACAAGTAAGAACAAAATTTGTTAGCAATTCGCAAATCATTATGGGATATATTCTTCGTTTAATATTGAAATTTCTGATACGTATGGTGATACGGATTATCGGAGATGGTATACGTACAACTGTTCATGAAACATTGATTTCATAGTTTCCTCAAATCCTCAAATCATTACAGGTGTCCATGATCACGACTCAATTTATTTAATTATCAGTGTCATTCTAAATAGACTTTTGTTTGATGGATCCACATACATCTTATTATCTAATATTAAAGGCGACGTCGGAACAAGTTAAACAATGTCATACATTGCAAACAAGTGATTGTAAATTAGACTTTTTCATGAATAAATAATTTTTGATAATATTTCTGATAAAATATTTTTCCTTATTTTCTAATAAATCAACCTTTGTTCCATCAGAAAAGGTATTTGTGCTATTTGCTTTACACGATGCATTCTGATATTTAATATTAATCAAAATTCCCTTTCATCTAGCGTAATAAATTTTATTAATGCTGTTTGTTCAGTCCCAAGAACTGACCATATATATTACATCATTTATCATATTATGTATCAACAGTTGCATATGAGACTTCCCCGCTGGTCAAATTTTGTGTCTGTTTGCCTGAAGATCTAAACATTAAGGTCATCGTATACACTAGGGCTTACGGAAGACAGATCGTTTGCAGTAAGGATATCGTCAACAGCCCGTTCGTACATCGGGAATGACGATCTGCACAAACACCTTAATACGAAATGGATGTTCCAATATGCAAAAAAACGTACGGTAGCACGTAAACTCGGACTACAAAACCACCCAAATCACCCGGCTCAGATTACAAAACTAATCCATTAAAACGACTGAAAGGAATCGAAGTTGCAGGACGCTGCACAAAATAAAATCTAAACCTAAGAACTCTGAAGGGTTGTTGCTGAACAATATTTATTTATATTTAATATTTTACTAACAACTTCCGCTGCAGAATTTTTGAACCATTGCAACAATCGAACAAAACAATCATACTACAGAGATTCTAAAAATTCTCCAATAGAAGCGCAATAAGATCCCTCAATACGGTAGGTATATACAGATATATACAGTGAGATTTTACAGTCAGATTTTAAGCGAAATTATCTTTACAGGCAGATAAACTAACATGAATATGAAGACTGAAATTGTTGGTCGAATCATTTATGGCACTTTTCGTGTCAAGCTGAATTAAAAATGAATTAAAAATGAAAAATGTAAACGAGTTGAAAACTGAAGGAAAAGCTGATACACAGCGAGCTAAAATGCCGTCATTCTTCAAATTGTACCTATTGATTTATACTGGTAATGTATTAATAAATGTGTTCGTTGTCGCTAAAATGACAATACTTCGATATTTCGTGAAATCTATTTTTGGTCATCGTATTTCCGAAAATGGCTGTGCGCAGTACCGGGTTTGTAAACCAATATTCATCTTTTTCTGATTTTTTTACAAGTCCCATTATGATAATTAATCCGAAAAATTTCTTCATTTCTACGACATCGGTAGCCTCGTCCTTTTTCGTTTCATTATGATTGCCTTGTTGTTGATAATATCGATTTGTTTCTCTTGCAAGTAAGTTTAGCACTTATTCTTCAATAAGTAATTCTACGCTCGATTTTACATCTCAATGTTCACATAGTGTTTGTATTCCAGATTGTTCCATGCAGTCATGGAAAGCGGGATCGGAATCATTTTGCGACCATTCACTTTCATCACCATCAGAAACTACACAATTATCGTCAGAATCACTAATTATCGATCTCTGTACATTTCGAAATCGTCTTTCTACAATATCACTTCCACTGTCCGACGACTTATTATCACTGTTACTTAATGATACTTAATATCAAAGTTACTATAGTTAAAATTATCTATGTCCGGAAATAGATCTGCGTACATTTCCTCATCATTATGAGATGTTGTATACGGAAACAGTATTATCGAGACAGGATATTTTACAATTATAAAATGTTTCGTGAAATGAAAATCAGCTGATCTTAGTTATTATGCTGCGAAAGCAGCGAACTGTTTGAATTTAATTAAAATGAGTTATGGAAATAGCGCTACATACAAGTAATGCGGTCCGACGACAGATAGCAGAGTGAAGTCACGACTACGTGACGCCAGACAAGAACCGCCAGCTGCCATAGATGAATGGAGTCACGCATACGTGACAACGGCCATCAAAGTATTACGATTTTAGAGTATTATTAATTATTGGGGTTTAATAGCAGAGCGTACACATTCATACGAAGGAAAAGAAAATTTATATTATGTATGAAAAGTATATATTATGGGTAAATAAGAACTATAATTTGACCTTACTCGTTACCTGTTGGATGTATCGAAAAACGATTTAAACCACTTATGTTAGATTCGGAGGAACTCGTTTGTTTTGCGCCAATTTGTTTATTTCGTTATTGACGAAAGGTTGTACGTAGGAGTGGATGTTGATGTTTCTAATTGGTGGAAAGTGTGCTAATTTAAATTACATTGTAATTTATTTATACTACAATTTCGTAGTAATTCAATTAGTTGTAATTACAGTATCGTAATAATCCTCTCTAAGAGTATTTCCTCATCTTGAATTGCTCATCGTTCATAAGGTCCTCGAACGTGTTCCATTGTTTGGTGTTTAGAATCAACCCTATAAGCAGCATCTATATGTTTATACATAAATACCCTTAATATTTACCCTGTACGTTTGCGTGTGTCGTATACGTTAAACGATAACAAACGATAACAGTACTCTTTGACAAGAGTACTGTACCTCATATTTGACATCTTAGATAACAAAGGGAAGCAATATTTCCTAAACTTTGGCGAAATTGACCCTCATTTTTTTGTCAATATAGTTCTCTCTCGTGTATTGCACTTCTGTACAAAAGATTCGAATGAAATTCATTTTATATTATAGTGACCCTCCCATAGTGGCAAGCAGAGGGATCACGGCAGAACAATTTTCACACAATTTTCTTCGTCTGACCATCCAATTCCTACAAATACATCCTCTGACCCGGGAATACTCCCGTCCCGTTCCCGTATCTAAGGCACGAGCTAACTAAGAAATCTTACTGATGAATCCAGCAAGCACCGGACTATACGAAACTTTTCTTTCCTTCCTTTCCACTTTTTCTTCGTCTCTTTTATTTCTTCTTTGCAGAACCATAATATGATTCATTCGCACTCTTATTCTTTCTAAAAGATTCATCGCAAAGTTTATTCTTATTTGATTTCAATTTGCGATTGGTAATCGATAACGATAGAAAGTTTACTATTGTAATGGTAGTGATAGAATATTAAGAAAAATATGTAAACAATTTGCAAGTGAGTCTGTGACGTATTACTATAACTCTTTTTTGTATAGCATTCAGATGCATTGTATAGCATTCAATCAGATATGTACTATACATTATATACTTAATTATACTTATTCACATTTTTGTACACAATACTGTCCCAGGCATTCGTGTGGAAGTCCTGTCCAAAAGGAATTTCTTTCCGATGTTTCGCCAGCATTGCAGCTTTTTCAAGGTCTAAAGACGCACCGAAACTTTTCTGATGGATTATCCTGAAATCCCAAGTCTCTTATAAATTTACAGTATAAAGAAAAAAAGAGAAACAGGAAAGAAGAAGATGTGAACTAGTGCGACAAATTTATGTACATAAATGTACGTAATCCATTATATATTTACATATGTATTAGGTTGTCCCAAAAGTTTCTTTTGTTTTATAAGGAAATAATAAATGCACAACACTTTTTGTTTTGTATTACTTTATCAAATTATGTATGATCCATATTGTTCTCTTGGAACATATGGAATATATGTCTTTAAAGGAGCAATTCATGCTGTTAAAGCTAGTAAAAAACTGCCTGATAGAAGTTCCTGCTGGTACAAAACTGACATTATTTGCCACACTTAAAATCTTTCTTAATTTATTAATATGTGCATTTCTTTCATTTCATTTGCTGTTCGAGACATAAACGGACCTACCCCCAACCTAACCCCAAATCCCGAGCAAGTTTTTCATTTATATAACGTTATGGGAAATGTTTATTGATAGCGTAACCTGCAACAGTAAAATGTTAATTATTTCTTTCGATCAGTTATTAGAATATCGGACATTGTAAGTATGCAAAAGAATTTTAATATGAAAATTGAGGACGTGAAACAAGAAGAACACCTCCTTCTTTTCTTTTCAAAACTTATGTTATCATTACGCTGCAGTTCAAGTTAAAACTTTTTCGGACTTAAGCATGTTAAGCGTGTTAAGCGTGTTAAGCGTGTTAAGCGTATTATTCGTTTATTTCGCAGTACAAATAACATATAGCTAGTGGAATAAAATCGATCAAAAGCTATTACGAGAGAAAAATTTCTGTCTCCGTTCTAGTAGCAGATGACCAAAAGCAAATGGTCAACAAATCGGACGCTGTTCTGTTATTTGTAAACTAAATATAAACTATATATGTGAAAAATATGTTTATGTTATATGTAGGTTTTATTCGTTGCATATATAATTACGTCAAATATTTTATAGTACAGTTAGAAGCTGTATGACAAAATACTGTATCGAATACACAGAAACGAAAAATATCTTTCGTAATATTTTCTTTAGTATATAAATTTCCATAATTTTATAGATTATGCAAAATTGTTCAACGAATGTATTTTCCATGAATTCTGATTTTATCTTTTTGTTAGTTATCGCGTAATAACATAATATATCACTTAAAAAAGTGACAACGGCTTCGAAATTTTAAAATGATGATTTTTATAAAATTCTCTTTTCGTAACAGTGCTTTTTTTCTTGAAAGGGAAAGTGCTTTCTTCTTCAGCAGCGTTTCGCATAAGAAGTATGAACAGAAATGTTAGAAGACTACAACGAGCTGTACATGCAGCTTAATACATATTATAGTTTTAATTACTGACGCTAATTACTAACGCTGTAGAATGTAATTAATATTATAACATTCACTAATTATATGAAAAACGTTTAATTTTTTTAAAATACTTTCTTTTACATAAAATAAATAATCATAATAATTGAAACAAGACAAATATTTTCTAAATTTAATTCCAATAAGATAAAAAAGTTTAACTTGTCGTTCATTTTTAAGTGTATTAAATTCGAATATTTTTTATTCATAAAAATAGATTCTTGTGGAGCAAGATATGTTACTAACGGTATATATGTATGAAATAAAAGCACTGTCTCTTATTGCGTTTATTGCCATATAAAATTTACAATTTTGGATATGATAACTTTGTTACAATAATGTTAAACGCCAAACAATAACGTAACAAATTAGCAAAGAAACGATGGTTCAAAAATTAAGCACCCTGTATGACGAAAGATAATAATGTAAAAATTATTGCTTGAATTTCAGGAAATTCTAAACTAAATTATATCTTTGTATTATAATATCGGAATATATATAATAGAAAAAAACACTAACAAACAAGGAGTAGAGACACTTGTTACATTTTGTTTTTTATCCCTTTGGTCCTATGAAGCACTTTCTTTATTTGTAATATTTGAATGTAAAATGCTAAAAATACTAAATAATACGTACAGAACTGCCACTATTATTATTCACTAAAAAATTAAAGTTCAGAAAACAAATGATTCGATAATATTGCATACAAATGAAAGAAAATGCATTTATTCCCGGTTTAGTAGTAAACTAGCGAAGTTTAAGAAATTTTGCACGCAAGTTCTTATTCCACAATGTTTCTCAGTTTCTCGTGAATTTTCTTCATCGCGTGACTCAAATAATTTATTGTGCGCTCACCTGTGCCTGTCGCGCATTTATGCTTGTATCTTTTATGAAAATCACTTTCCGCCGTAAATAAAATTGAGATTGCATTACAACTCGAGCAGCACTTTCTGTAGTTGCGCCTGTTCCCAGCAAACCTGCAATCACTTTGATATTATTTGCAACATTTATGCGATCATCGCGTACGGAAAGAGCAAATGCTTATCAATAGCGAATAAGTTCCACAAGTTTGAACGCTAGCAGTGTAATTTTGCTACAAAATTTTCAGTCTAGCGTGACGAGGTGTAGCAGAACGTTCATGTTTTATAAATCTGTCGATGGTGATAGTCCGACTGCGAGTTCTTATGCAAATTCGTATTTTTGTGAAAATAATTTAAAAAGTCGGACCTAAGCAGAAGTTTATTTTGACTGTTAAATATTATGTCAGGTGCTGGATATTTTGTACAGTGGCGGACAAAAGAAAGTTTGTAACATAAGAAGAATAAAAGGACACCATAATTTTAAGCAGCGGATTTATATTTAATAAAAGAAATACATATATAATATACAGTGGATTTCGCTTGTTTGAGCCATCGCTTAATCGGCGCAATACTTTATATGAGACAATGTTGAAAGAACAGAACCTAAAGGAACGAATTGGCCTAGTTGTCTTCTATTAATTGGGGCAACGTGTCGCTTAGTTGGGACAGATGATGTACGCAGAAGACGGCAAATGGGACAGCATAGGGCGCAGGAACAAGAAGACTACTCTTCTCTGTCGCTATATTATATCGCAATATGATCTTATTTGCAACGTGACACTTTTAGGCAAAATGTATTTCTCTGCCTTGGCATCTTTTCGTAAACGCACTGTTTATGTTTTGCATTCCTCTTCTGTTTGTAAATACGACAGCACGGTTTTTATATAAGTTGAGTGAACGATGTTCACGTATCTTTCCTAATACGTTGTGCATTTTGTTGTAATTGAATTTTTTAGGGAGACTCTGAAGACTCGCATTGATGAAAACATTAATGATATCGATGGTTATTGACAAAGAATGAAAATAGTTCTGCACGAAGAATATGTATATACGTGTTAGACATTTATTCTACGAATATTTAAATAAACGCTTCATTGTTCATTCAAGCTATAGTTCGTTTTATATAATTTTGACTACCGTATTTACGTATCCGATAATTCGCATAATAGAAATAGCCGCTTAATCGAGTGAAAAAACGCTAGACCCGATATGTTCCAAATAATCGAAATTCACTGTATAACACAGGATAGATGATTGTTATCGATATGATAAAAAAGCTTTACGAAAATTACTAAAATTTCTAAACTAAACTTCCCTTTATCCGCAACTGTGTACTTTAGTGTATTATGTGCATTCTATGCATCTTTCTGCTTTCGAACGTCCCTTAAATGTTAAAAATCCGCAGTCTAGTGATAGTGGTGGAATGGAATGGGAAAGTAGCTCGTTTGCTGGAATTTTATCAATGAAAGGTGAAAGTTTCAAACGGTAGAAGCAGAAGGAAACGATCAACTAGTATGAAATGGCTGCAATTAATACAATCAGTCGGTCCGTGAAGTACGGCCTTCATTATGCTGCTTCTTGGCCAGGAGCCCCACTCTCAGTTTTATGTAAACTCATTTGGATGATCGTCCTTGGTGTCGGGCAGACTCACCAATACAATTATATAATCAGGCATTACAAAGTTCATACTCTTATAGAAATAATAGATAATATAAGTATTTGCCTGCCGTTTAGTTTAGTATGTATAAAATTAGTTATTGCTTGGACACACCAAGGGTAAGTTTTTTATTTTCATTATTCTTCAGGCAGATATTTAGATGTACGTTGTCGAAGAAAATTGTGATCTCGCTATGAATAAGTATTAACCCCTTCCCGTGCCATCTAATTCGACGAAACTCGGACCCAAGCGGTAGACATCGACGCGCGCTAAACAGACCAGACTGAAGCTCGTAAACAGGAACTATTACAACATTCAGTGACGATCGTAACGGGCAAAAAAACAGTCCGCGAGCTCGGCTTGTTTATGTTTACGTTTGGCCCAAGTATCTGGTCGCGAGTCAGACTCGCGATATTCATGTTTGGATCAAAATCTTCATCGCGAGTCTGACTCGATAAAGTACGGGAAGGGGTTAAAGATAGAAATTCACAAGGATTCGCCAAATGTTAGCCAAACGTGAATTTGACACGCTAAAACAGCTGCCAAGTTCATAATTTAACTTAATTTATAAGCGTGCTTACAATTTAGTCCCACCAAATTTCATGGGTCCGACTTATTTATCTAGAAACTTAATGTTTGCTTTTCACATTGTAAAAATAATCGTATTATAATCTATAATCTATAATAAATCTATAATCTTAATTCTTTAAGTAAAACACAATTTTTTAATGGATCCGTTTCTTTGTGAAAGTTAAACTAATTGTTTTTTGGCTAGTCATCGAGCTGTCTATTTCTTAACTTTCAGCAGTGTAATAAAATAACGAAAAATTCAGAACGAACGACTTAGAAAATAGTTATATCTTTTCAAAATTTCTTGCACTTGTTGCACCATGTACAAAATATATATTGTACTTTAAATTGTTTATACGAAATAACTGTTAATAACTGCGTTACATATGATGACATTCAGCTTGTAAAATTTGTGGTACTACAGTCGATACAGTTCACTTATAACATACTCGTTTGTAACAGTATTTAAATACTAAATTTATTAATATTTAATTATACATATTGCATTACACAGGGATTTATATCCAAAATATTATTTTACAGCCTGCTTCGCAGTATTTTATCAACCATGGAAGAAGAGTGCCAAACGTATGCTGTTATGGACACAAATAACTTAATATCGAAAACAGCGCATTGGTGTTATCGTTTGACGAATATTATAATAAGTACCACTATGGCATCCACGGTTTTTTACGTAATCGGTGTTTTCACTTCCGAAGGAGTTAATGCAACGACACCTCGAGAACTTTTATTAAAAATGGATTTGCCCTTTGATACTAGTAAATCGCCCACTTTCGAGCTTGTGGTAATTGTACAATATTTTTATCAGGCATCGTCAGCGTTTATATTTGCTGTATTCACAGGTCTCCTTTTGATGATAGTAAGTATCAATATAAATACTTTTTCAATATTATTCGATTCTGCTTATGGGATAAAATATAAAATTTAATTTTCACGTACTTTAAAAATGATTTTTTAATACAATTTAATGAATCACATAAGAACAACATTATTTTCTAACATTAAAAGGTAACATAAGTCATTCATTGTTTTTGTTCATTTATTGATTTAGTTTTTTAGTTTAAGATAATATCTCTATTAAGTAAATCAGCTATAAACAACATATTTGATAAGATTTTTTAAAATATTGAAATAGCTAATATTTTGGAACTTTTGCATATACTGATGTACATATGTACATACGTATATGTATGTACAGTGAACTACTCAATTATCTCCTAAACTATTCGTTTTTGAAACGAATGTTTCGACTAAAACATTTTGTTTTTATTTTAGTTTTCTATCTTATTGTGGTGAACTATCTTCCGGTATTTTACTTAGGATCGTAGTTACACGAGTATCGAAACAATCACTGTCGCAAGAATCGATTTGAAACACGGCTTGGGTTTATTCTTTGTACATTTCAGTATAATAAGCAATAAATATTCACACGAGCAAGATGGATGAAATTTCGATTTTCAGTCATACATTATTGAAAATGAGAAAAAAAAAAAAAACACAAGCCGGGGAAGTGTTTAATGCAGACTGCAAAGTCAAAACTACTGAAAGATTATATATAGAATACGTATGCATTTCATACGCTTTAAAGTAAACTGCAAACTGGGGAGGAAAAACTTTTTAACTCGTTCCATGTATTTCGATCAATGTTCGATGAATTCCATCTATGACGAATCCTTTTAAACGATGTGCCAACGTAGGTCGCAAATAATTGGGACCTTTGCATGGCGTGATGAGGATTCTTTCCGCGAAAAGACCTCTTTTTCTTCATCCGAGGTCGATTGGCTAGAGGCTTTTTAATTTTCCGAAGTTTTGCTGTTGTAGGAGTAGCTGCACGAGAGGATTGCGTTTCTAGTTTGGTACGGGGACGTAAAAAATAACACTGAGAATTGTAAAGGCTATCCATTATTTCATAAAAAACAAATGACAAGTCGACAGGTCTATGATCAGATCCGTAGGAATAGATAGCATCGTACAGGAATGCCCATATCGAACGCATGACAGACGATGTTGTACCATTTGCTGCCTGCTGTCAACGGTGGGCAGATGTCAAATTTGATGACTGTAACTCGCGTGACTGCTCGTATCTCGTATGCAACGACATGTAATGCCCACGTGTGAGAGATGTAATGCGCTTCGTAAAATTCATTTTTTTCAACGATTGTGCAACAGCTGTGTATGTGGTGGACAGGGTGTCTCATTCTCATTGTCATCATAAGACGATCTACTCGAAACAGAACAAGTTTTATTTGAAATAATTCTTCAAATAACCTATTATATATTCTATATAATATTCTACGTAGAAACATAAATCGAAAATGTAGAATAAGATCTTCTTCTTCGAGGCCCCGTTTTTGGGGAAATCGATTTTGAAAATTTATCAAGTATGTTCGAACATGACTAATTCCGGACTGGACAGGAGAAAATAATCGGCAGGAAGTTATTCTACGTGTAAAAGAAAGTCGAAAATGTAGAATAACATTTCTTCGCAAGACGTTTTGTTTGCAAGAAAAATCAATTTGAAAATTTAGTATGCGCATATACAATTCTTAACTAGACATGTTTAAACCCTATTTTCTTGAAGAAACCTTGAACTGACAAATTTTATTCCGCGTAGAATAATCGTCCTGCTGATTGTACATTCATATCCAATCGATAATTACTAATTAATCAAGTTCAAGTACATTGGTATACGAATGATAAAAATTAATTGATTTTGCCTTGAAATACTTGTATACTTCTTTGGGTTGTTTTATTTAACAATTTTATATTATTATTCGTCATTTTTAGGTACTTCATATAGGTTGTCAAATCGATGTTATGTGTCAGACATCGTCAGAAACTCCTTATAAAAATGAAAAGCAACTAAAGTTCTTCATTAGCAGGCACCAAGAAATTATTTTATTTGCAGAGAAAATTGAAAAGTTCTTTACTTATATAGCGCTTAGTCAACTTATAACGAATACCTTAATTATTTGTTGCTTGGGTTATCTCATAGTGCTTGTAAGTAATGCACTGATATAATATAAATAACAATAACAATAAGAATGAGAAAAGTTCATGTAAACACATGCCCGATATGATCCTGTTTTGAATTAACAGCTTGTTTTGTGTCGTAATAGTTGCTTACCCTCAGAGAAATTGCTAGAAATGACCAAGTCCAGTTTTAGTAGAAGCGTTAATGCGTCACATTATAAATTCTCAAATTTGTTCGAACAGCCTACGCGTGTTTCTTGGCAAGTTTGGTCGTCACATTGACGAAGAGTTTCAATAGTGTCAACTGACGTCTTAAATGTTCCCACAACTAATGATAGAATGGGTGCAGGTCTGCAGAGCGAGCTGGTCAGGCAATGAAGTTACCACGACTTATCCATTTTTCGAGACATTCAACTTCTAAGTTGAACTAACTAATATCTAGCGTTACAAAATAAGCTGTAACTCAAACTGTGCTGAATCAGCCCCTGCCGCACTTCCCACGTGCTCTTCCTTGTCCCGTATACGCTATATCAACTTGTACTGATATATCAAATGCTAGCCTTTATTTCATTGTTCATCCCTTATTATCTACTAATATCTAAAATCCGAACTACAATATGAATACCATAAAGATATTTTAGACACGGACTTAGATGAGTTTAGACGTAGATGAGATCATACATAAACACGCCTATACTCGACGAATTTTTTATTTATTCGGAATTAACTTCTCGTACGAAAACATGTCATTCTGGATTTTTCAACATATTGATTCGTGTAAATTTATCGCGTTTCAAACTGTACTACCGGCCGAAAACATTCTACATATACAGTATGTATAAAAGAGGATTAAGACATTATGTGTTACAGATAATACATATTGAGAATGGATTCCCTATGTTCATGAAATGCGTTGTATTCTATATCTCCGTTTGTTCGGAAGCATTTGTATATTGCTTCGCTGGAGAGTACCTGAATATCAAGGTTATTAAACAATGTACTGAAATACCAAATCGATCAATTTCCGGTTATGCGATTACCACGGATAGCGTAACGAAATGATAATTGATATTATGGTCTACGTTAGATGATACTTTTATAATACATAATGCAATTTCGTTTTTATAATACAAATATTAATTTAGAAAATATTAATGTGTTAAACAATTAATTTGTTATGTAACAATAAGAGTGCAATATGCAATAAGCTTCTCCAATATCTTTTACTTATATAGTTGAAGATAATTATTATCGTGTACAGGAGGTTTTGTTATCTTTCTTTTTATCATTACATAGATTATTAACATTAAATATCTTTATTTTTATTACTTGAACTCTTTGATTCTCAGTTGAAATCTACAATTTCCTTCACAAATAACAATGCATAAAATATAAATTTTTGACAGCTATATATATCTACTTTCGAAAATGCCACGACCAGAATTACTTTGAAAGCAAAATGTTGCAGTACATATTTTTCTCTTCGTTTGTGTGTTTATATTTATAAACATTTTGGGTGTTGTAGTTTTTTATCTGTTCTTAAATCTATACTATATATTAGCGCCTTGCCATTGACACAAGCTGTCAATCTGATCGATCTGATAATATTAAATGCATGCATATTTTAAAATCAATTTTTTTTTCAAATATAATGTTTGTTTGTTGAAAAAATTGTTTGTTCTTTATTTACTTTTTTATAGAGAATTATACCACTAACTGGAAAGTACATTTTACGGGTAGCCTGTATAGCGATATTAGTTATTAATTTATTTGCGTACTTGGTTATTGCCTTCCAAACATAGTTGAACACGATTTGCATATGATAATGAAGCAATTGGCGAATGTTAATTAGCACGTTAATATAGTTACCGGGGACGTGGTAATGTGGTAGTGTGAGAAGCACAGTAAGTCGGTAAATTTTAAGACTGACAACAGTTAAATAAATTTCTACTACGATAATCTATAATATTTCAATGAGATTGAAATAATGTTGTTCCTTTCAGAAATGTAATCTTTCTCGTGTAATTATCGTACATTCTTTCAATAATTTGGTGAATTTTAAGACTTTCATTTTATTTATTTTCTACTACATTTTATTACACTTGTATGTGTATAAATTCATGTTCGAAAATACACGAGTATATATGAGTGACAGATGTCTCACAGCTAGCTACTTTAAATTTTCAACAAAGCGATGTACGCTTAAATTTAAATATTTATTTTTCAATCGGAGGGTTGAAAATCAGCTTGAATTTCTTGAAAATATAAGCATAAGTTGAGCCAAATAAACAGAAAATATAAATATAGTGTTTCATCGTTGTTATATACACATAATATATGCATTATCTGTTCCATATGTATTAATTTATCATCTTTCTGAGTTGGAGAAGTTTATTGATTTCCTGCCTGGTTATTACGCACGTGTTTAGTTTTCCTTTTCAATTCCTAGTTAATATTGAATTATAAGCTAATAAAGTCCATTAATATGTTCTAAGGACTAATTCCAGTTTTTGTCCTGGTTTAATGATTATGAAATATCATCTAAAGTCGAGTTGGAACTTCGGTTGACGCTTATTATTTGAGTAAAAGGTAGCAAAAGTTCATTTATCCAAGCCGCAAAATAATAGTAGAGTAAATAATTATATCTTCCATCCAAATAATAATAAAATTGACACACACTGATCGCTGACATTGGCTATAAATGAACTTGCAGTGTTGTGAATCATATATTTAATAACAAGTTTGATATTCCTCATCTTTTATGACCTTTAATAAGTCGATTGGTATTCTGTATGCCAACTTTTTTAATTTATAGCACGTCACATATAATGTAAGCAATATCAAAGTACCCGAAACCTCAAGTATTAGTTGCACAATTAAATTAGCAGAATTGCTAATTCGAATAATAAGTATGCCAACATAAGTTTCAACGTGATGGTGCGTGTAAGAGCGTTAATTGCCACCCCAGCGTATTTTGTTTTAGTATATCTCCAATATTTGTATTTTTTTAAAAATACAAGTATCTCGTATAGGGTAAAACGGGGTATAAAATGAAAAATAAGCTGTCTTATTTTGATATAATGTTTACGAGGAAATATGAAATTGTGACATTATAATCGAAAAATAAATTTTCGTTCTTTGAGAAATACTAAAGCTCGACATTCCCCATTTTTCCTGTGGACCCTTCGTACGTCTACGACTACTACATACTTTTTCATGCTATACTATGTATACTAATTCTTCACCAAACGTATGTCTGCAATGAACGCTCTTGTAACTTCCAGATACATTTTCGGATTACTTTTTAATTTTGCTATTATAACTACATCAATCGTGCGTAAACTGCATCACACTGCGAATAAAACTTCAAAAACTTACGTATAATGCACGCAATATTTTACTCATAAAAAGGTTTTGTGGTAAGTAGAATACTTTCGTGAAACGTCGCATTCATTAATTAGAATGACAAAGCTGTGCAATTTTGAGTTACGAATCTAAAATTGCAAGTTGAAAAAGGAACTAAAGATACGTTGACCGTAATATGTAAATATTCTCTACGCATATATTCATATAGTCTATTTTACAAAAACGTTAACTAGGCGTATAACCGTATATAATCTCCGTTTTACCCTATTTTTTCATAACCTATTCCTAAAATTCCATTTCGTTTTAGAGTAAATTGATTGCGGACACTGCATATGAATTTCTTTGGTACGATACACATCCAAGTAAAAGCCGACTTTTAATACCTGTGATACTAAGATCTCAAAGAGGATTTAGTTTCACTCTTGGGAAATTTGCAAATCTTTCCATGTCAACCTTTGCGGCTGTAAGCTGTTTATAATATGTGTTTTGATATAATATCTTATTTGACATTTCATAATACTTACGAGAAGATTGACGATAATTCGGCTGAAGAAATAACATTTTTTCTACTTTTAGATTATGAAAGCTTCAGGATCGTACATATCGGTACTACTTGCAATGACTTGAGAAAGAGATTCGTGAATACTATGGAATAGTTTATCGTAATTTACATATCTTAAATTAATTAGTAAAAAATTGTTATAGTACAGGAAGGCACAATATCGTGTATGTAAAAATAAAGACAAAAGAAAATGCTAAATGTGGAAAATTCATATGAAGATCGCGGAAAAGAAACACGATAAGTACATTTCCGTTGATTTTTTATTTCAATGTCACTATATAATTGTTGAGATATGAATGAATTGAAAAACTATTGCTCTGTAAAAAATAGAAAATGCGACTTATCGTTTTCTTCCACCGTAATCTTCATATCTAAATAATTGCACCTAAAGGTGTTAATGGTACGAGAAAAATAGTTGATTAAAGTTTTTAACACATTAATGTACAGGTTGTCCTAGTGTTTAAAGAACATCTAAACACTGTATTTGTTTTTAGCTACATAAGAAGCGTTTCATGCATAATTTGAGTGATTTTGAATGATAAACACCGTAAGAAGAACAAATTTTTTACCGTTTTCTTAAAACATTTCAACACCATCGTCGTTATTTTGCAAACAAGAATAGGTATCTTTTTTCTAATATATTTGTAAGAAATATTGACGGCGGAAGTTTTGCGGTAAGAAAAATTTATATCTTTTAGATAACCGAAATTTAATAATTTTCCCTTTTCGTATGTATTTATTTACTACACCGATGTGGATCGTAAATATTTTTTAAAATTGATCTGTTGTCAAAGATCAGTGGATACGTAGTATTTCACGTTGCGCCTCGAATGAGAAATTGTGGTTGTAAAAGGTAATATTAGTTTGTATACCGCTCTGTTTCCTGAACTATCAGTTAGGAAGGAATTTATTGCAGATACGCTATACCGTGCAGCTAGTTCTATTTTTTGCAATAAATAACTTCTATTTTATATCGGTAAAGATCTTTTTGTACGATAAATTTTGAATCTAAAATATACGCAATAGAACTCAATTTCAAAAGCTGAAAATATCTTAACCATAATACTTTAGAAATTAGTAAACTGTGTAATTTATATATACAATTATAATTATAATTGCCTATGACCATTAAACAGTTGTTGCTTACATCTATAGAGGAAAGCGGCTAAATATGGAATAGCATACCTAACAGGGAATTTTTAAAAGTCTGACAAATGAATATCTGTCAAACGGCTATAGACTGTTTCACTCACTCGCTCTGCAAGTGTTTATTTTGCCAAGAACTTTTTTCCCAGTATTCTGATGGTGATATATAGATCAAGTGTCTGGTCCGGTATGACAAATGTGCTGGAGCAGAGTTTTGCACTTGGATATACGATCACTGCAAATAATTTTTAAAAAATGTGTTTATAACTAACGTTCTTTGATCAGTGAAAAGAATAAAACTATCTTTTGTTTGTTTTCCGGGAAAATATTGTACCTGGTGTCAGACTACTTAGTTATTGCGGGTTACGTACAATTTATGTTTTTTCAATGTGAATTCAATGTTAAAAACTGTTTATAACGTTAGAAATATAAAAATGGGATTAAATTGAGCGAATACTATCGAATACTCGTAAAAATCTTTTGATTTTGCGAAAATGACATTCGAAGGACGAAACGATATTCCGTGTATGACTACTTCGCTCTATTCAAAATTCCATTGATTTTTCAGAATCATGTAAACACTTAGAAAACGATGAAACAAATTGGAAGGAACTTCATTTTCGCGCAATTTATTTGAAACCATAGATTCAAAGGTTTTATTCTATTTTTATCAAACTCTTTACAGAGAAACTATGTCTCGGTTAGCTCTCTCACAGTTTCTAATACATTGCTGTTCTTCCACGTAGTTTCAACAAACTTTTATGATTTACCTTCCGTCTTCCTTTTTCTCGTCCTTTTGTAGCATTGCTTTGAAAGTTTTCCGTTTTCAACACGACTGAAACATGACTTCTGCTCGAACATGCGCTTACTTGTGTAAGATGTGCCATGAATTTCATCAGATTCTCTAACCCTTTAGAAGCAAAGTACATTCGCTTTATTGCAGTCGTCGCATCTCCCCACCTAGATGAAACGAATGAAAACCTTGTATAAGGGTCTAAAGCACATTTTGCTCAAAGTTAAATCAACGGTAAAGTACGTGGTTCTACAGTTACTTTTACAAAATACCCAAATTGCAGATAGTTTGTCTGATGGTAATAGTCTGAATAGATAAAATATTAAGTGTATATGTGAATAATCAAACATTTTTCGATCCAGATTCGATCGTTGATATCATTATATCTCGATAGCTCTAACATTTGTGAATTTGTCATTTGTGAATAGGCTGTCAAAACTAATAGATGGAAATACAAAGACAGATTTGTCGACCATGGCTTTGATATGTATTACATTCAATTAATGGGTTACTCATCTGCTATTGATACTGAAAAATGCCGAGGTTATACATCAACATTTTTCCTCGCGGGAATTGAAGCTACTGTGTCGGTGTACACGAAAGTTAAACGATCTGATCGAATGAAATATGTTTTTTTTTTAGTATTCCTCTTATCCTATATTCGTTTTATAGCTACACGGATCACGTGAAAAAATAATCAAACTGCGTTAAAGAAGATAAAAGTATAAAGGTTCTGTTAAAGTATAGAGAGGATTTGTAGAGAAGAAAAAGTTAAAATTTATTTACAAATTATCTAAATTTAGCTCTACATGTAGGTTACTCTCTGAAGGACTCGACAACACACTGGCTTGCTTGTTTGTTTTCTTCTAATCGCTCTTTTGTCTCGACTGAGACCCGGACGTCCTGCGACGCTCACATACACTCTAGGGAGGGCATGCATACATGTGTCTGCAAGTTCTTCGCTCCCTCACTCTCGCACGTACAATATAAATGTACTATTCTATTTAACAAGTTCGATAAAAGCAATTAAAACAAACAAGAAAAAATTAACGTTATGTGATACTGTGATTATTATTTTGATTATGAACGGACTTTAGACATTTGTTTCCATATTTTTTAATGGAGTTATTTGTATTTATAGATTAAATGCTGGAAATAAAAAATATCATTAAAAGATAATATAATATTTATAATTTTTGTAAACAATCTTCTGTAAGAATCTAATTACATTTAAATAAGTAACAATGAATAATTACAAATTCTTAAGTATTACTAAGTATATAATTATTCTGTTTGAAACTTGCCTGCTAAGTTTTCAATTAATAATATTTTTCTAGCATATTGCGTACTACTGTCGCAGTTAAGTACTTATATCAAGCTGAAAGTGTTAAAGGTATCAATTATTAACATTTATCAAGCGAGAAAATTCATTTTATTTCCAGGGGATCAATGTGATTTATAGATGGAAACTAAGCACAAAAGTGTGCGTCAGATCGCAGATGTTCAGCAGAGCAGCAAAGGTTTCTGTTTCGCTCGCAGTTTCTACCCTCGTTTGTTCGCAATCCCTCGCATTAAACCAAATGAATCGGAAGAGATCAAGTTGGCACGGATCTAAGATTATCAAGACAATTTCCGCGTCATAGCTTATCATCAAACTGAAAGTTAATATTTAAAAGGATACGTTTAACCATAAATAGAATTGTTTGTAAACAAATTATGTACATCTACTTATAAAGTATTATAAAAATTACTTAATTATTTTCACCACGTGTTACTTTGTTGAAATTGTTTTGGCTACTCGACATTTATGTAGTTTAACACCTTAAATTCTTACTTATTATAAAAAAAATAGCACTTATATGTAATTATTTTTTTTCAACCACTTAGTATTTCAATAAATCTTTCAGAATTAATTTCAGATAAACACCGTGATATATATTTTGTAAATGTATAGCAAACAACAATAATAATCTATAAGATAAGTATTCTTAAGATACTTTTAAGACCTTTACTGACGATACATATTACACAAGTACACATCATGTAAATCTTTTTCAGACGAACATCACGTTGGAATCCACATCAAAAGACGATCAAATGTACTTTTCAACTATACATTTGTCTATGAGCATACGTTATGGTACAATTTTTTTTCTGGCGATACATCGATTGTCCGACAAAGTGTCAGTTGTACAATGATTCGAGGGTGTGACAATCACACATTCTCTTTGAGACACACATGCATAATACATCTATTCATGTTTGTTCGCTACTTGTCAAATTCATAATTGATTTCATTTCTCTTATTCCTGTAACAATATCCATTACTAAATGATTAAAGTATCTCGACAGATCAAAGTGGTGTTACTTCGAATCATTTGCTGGTTGTCGCGTGATTTAAGAATCAAGATTGAGAAAAGAGGGTCGCTATGCATACCGGACAATACACAGACATGTCCATCAAAATGTCAGGCTTCCTTTTGAAAATCACAGGTATCTCGAAGGCGACAAACAGTATCGGACAGAAGCGAAGGAAATTCATGGTGGTCTATACCATAGCTGCACTCGTTTATGGCGTGTACGTGAACGTCGTGGATATTTATCATAACTTGCATAATTTGGACGTGAGTAAGAAAGTCGTTAATCCTCCATGGACGCGTCTTTTGCTTTTTACATGAACTTTAAAGTTTTCATTAAAGTATGTGTGGGTAGTTGATCGCACAATGTGTCAGTAAATAGTACGATACATTATACGGATTTAGATATATCTCGTTAAAAAAGCTTGAGAGAATTTTTTCGTTGCAGATTGTAGGATTTCAGAAGTGTTTGCCCTATGTCATTTCAAACGTTCTTTTAACTTAAATTTACCAATTGCAAAAATATTACTAAGTCGTAAAATTGTTCTTTTCGAAGCAAGTTTCACCGATTAAATATTACAAATCGTTTTTTTCAGCATTGTATCTTTCTGGCTTCCAACACGTTGAACATAATATTGGCGATGTTCAAGCTTTCGGTACTGCACTTTTATAAAACGGAATTTTCGGATATAATTGTATACGCTCAAAAGCATTTCTGGCATATCGATTACAATGACGATGAGAAGATACTTTTCGCAGAGTGCAGAAATTTTTGCAAGTTATGGACGGTATTTATATTGCTTGTTACAGAAAGCTCTTTGTCTTTCTATGCAATTGTACCAATCAGCGGTAAGTTGATTCATCGATTAAAAGATTAAATAACGTTTCTTTTTTTTCCAAAAGAAAATAATTTTCGAAATAGTGAACTGACTAGCTATCTATATTTTGTTATAGAAGGATTGTACTTTATTTTTCATATATTCGTATATTCACATGTTTTTTTCATTCAAATATGGTAAAAACAATTGTAAGTCATAATACATTGAGGAAATAAATTTACGCGTTTTAAGTTATGGAAATACAAGGACTAAATTAACGTTCGAAGTAAGAAATAACTATCTCGGTTAGACAAAAACCTAAACTCATTCTAGTAAAGTCTGACCTTATAAGAAACGTTTATATTAATCAGGAGGATATTATAAAGCTCATGTTTCGCTATATTTCAGCGAACATTGGAAACAATGGTTCAGAAAGGTTACTTCCATTCAAAATGTGGGTCAATCTACCATTAACCGTGACACCTTATTATGAAATAATGTTCGCCATCGAGGTATTGCAAATCTCCATACATGTAGATTTTAAACTGATGGTCGTTTTTTCTTGTGCGCCCTCAAGTTTTGAAAAGTTTAAACTTTTAGCAACTCTATATCTTTCGTTGCCGGAATAGCTTCTCAATATTTGCAGAAAAAGTAACATAGCTTGATTAAAAAGATATTTAAGTAAAGTATCTGAAACTCGTGTCACATTTTCTTATTGCACAGTCGCCGGTTAAACAGCCCCTAAAAACTGGATAAAATATCATGTATCGCAATAATTTATCATCGACGACTTCATCATCGAATTACTATTTATACAGTTATTGGCCGTACAACAAATTGGCGCAAGTTATTTGTGCCCCGAACAGTTCTTATGTGTGCTGAATCTGCACGTGGTCTATCAGTTTCGTATGCTGCAAAAAACTTTATTGAACTTGTGGTCGAACATCGACGAACAAACCGATATCGCCGATTATTCAAACAAATACTACATAATATTGAAAAAATGCATCCGAAAGCATCAGTGGTTGATTCAATTGAACGCTCAACTCGAGCGTTTTCACGTTGCCGATTCTCAGTCACATGGTTATCTTTAGCGTGCTGATGTGTTTCGACACGTACGAAATCGTTCTGGTACGTATAAATGATAGGTCTGTTTTAGCCCTTAAAGGATACCGCGGATGGGAGTGCGCCATATCATTTAAATAAAAAATTTAGTGAAGTTAATCAAGTGCGATTAAACGTTTTGTTATTATTCCATACTAGATATTCTACTGGTGGTAAACTTTAAGGGTTGAATAAACGATCATTTCTTTCTACTTTTCACAAAATATTCTAATTTTCGAAACGAAAGCCGAATATATTAAATCTTCAGATCAGAATGTTGTACTTGTACATAGGCAAACATATCTTCCGAGAAACGACTTATATTTTTTTTCCACATGATCGGTAGCTTTGCCCATATAATTTTCTTCACATATATCTGCCATGGTTTGGTAGAAGAAAGCACGAATATTAGCATAGCGTCGTATTCGGGATGGTGGGTGTGTCTGCCAATGAGCAAAACAGGCAAAAAGATACGAAAGGATATGAAGATGATGATGATGAAAGCGATGAGACCGTGTCAACTGACCGCCGGAGGATTCTTTCCTGTGAATTTGGAAACATCTACCGCGGTATGCAACCACTTCCTTACTCTAATCTCACGTCTACTCTCAAAGTATCACTTTCAGCGTTCTGTTACGATATCTAACATTATTTTGTTCGTAAGTAAGCAGCATTTGCCTCAAAATATGTCTTATCTTCGAAATAATGTAACATGAATTTTATAGTATAGACAGTATAGATATGGTATTTTTGCATTTATGCTTATCGCATATACATTTTTACATATCTATAATTACAATAGAATACGTATTATAATAAACGTATAAATTTGATGAGATTTTTTCGTTACAACTTATAAGCTCGACGATGTCATACTTTGCTCTCATGGGGGAATCGTCTATGAGAGTAGCAGAGCAATAATTGACTATAAATGCACGGATTTGCACAATGAAAATACCTTAATATTAGCAAATAAACTTCAGTATTTGTATTCAAATGACTATAGGAATAAACCTAATATTATTGAATGATACGTAATTTCTTCAGAAAATTAGCGACAAATTTTCAAAATAAATTCACATTTGAACTTTATTTTCTCGAATGTGCGGCTGCTTCATCTGCGTTGAACGCTAATAAAAGTTCCATCAAGAAGGCAAAGCACACTTACGTCGCTTGAAAGTAACAAAAGCAAGTCACTTTATGCATAGTCACGATCGTTCTTCGTTCTTTCTATTGTCACCTGTTCCGTCCAAACTCTCTGAAATGGCGTTCACGCAAGTCGTCAGAGTGTCGTCGCGATGTAAAGATCTTGCTCTACCACATTGAGCCAAAATTAGATACATAGTCTTTATCTTGATTATTCGACGTTGACCGCGCGAACGATGCAAGATATGAACATCTGAATTTTTCAAAATTCGAAATCAATCTTTATTTATGCGTATATCACGTCATTTACATTTATTTCGTTACATTTGTTTCGACAATTAGTTATGCGTCGTGAATCTTCACGAAAGCTTCAATAACGCAATCAAAGATCAGATAGGCGATCAGAAATCAGATACGAGATTATCGTATTATGCAATTATTTCTGATACAAAGTTGAAGAGTTGTGTACAACAGCATCGAGTACTCATTGAATATCGCAGAAAGTTAGAAAATATATTTATGGCGATCGTGCTTGGCCGGGTAATTTCTTGCTACGATGTATGCCTTGTGGGATTTCAGCTATTTCTGGTGAATATGGTAGGCGATATATTTTAAGTTCTATCGTTCAGTCGTTTCGTTTCAAATTGTCTCAGTTACTTGCGCCTAAAGTTATCTCTTTACATTTTTATTATTTTTGTTGAAAATTTTATTTCTTTTATAAACGTGTGTATGCAGTAATCGTGAAAATTAGAGACTACGCGATGCCAGGACTAAAATCTTGGCTTGGACGTTTGTAGCTGACTACGTTAACCAGATAGAATGGATACACGATATACGGTAGTGTCCGGATATATCGCCACGAGCTATTTCCACCAACTCCTGCAATTGCTCGCTCAAGGCATGCCTCGTTGTCTGTGATCCGTATCGATGTAATTGAATTCGATATTGAATTATTGCGCTAAGCAAATATAATTTCTTCTACTGTTCATCATATTGTTACGAGATGGCCTTAATCGGATTATTGAGATTCGTGCGATCAAAATGATACCAAACATGAACATATTTGTCCAAGAATTTTTAACTAAACCGAAGAAATGTGTAATATTTGATCAGGAGTAAGAAATGATTCTGTCTTTCTCTTACCTTCGATACGTAATGTGCGCCAATTTTTGGAAAGTCAACACACCCGATATATAATCGTTAAACACAGTTTCGATCAGTGAACATATATTCGGATATTTTAATCACCACGTACAACAGATGCAGTCAATTCAAATATCGTACCAGCTTTTTAATAAATATTCATGGTATGTCAAATTGCATCAATTATACACAATACATACTATGCAAATGTAAATATCATACGGTTCCCTATTATTTGACTAGATACACAATTGGTTTATACATCAAACCGAGTTTTCATAGAGAAATGAAAATATTATTAAATAAATAAACATAGTTATTTTTTTGTTTCTGAACTTAGTTATACATTTTCGTTCAATATTTTAATTGAACATAATTATTAAATCCATGTATTATACACATACAATATATATATATAATGGCAGACAATAGAAAGTTTATAAAATAATAAATATAAAAAGACGCTATAATTTTACAAAACAGATTTATATTTGATAAGAGTAATGAATAAGTATATGTATAATATACAGTACAGAATAGACGATTATTACTAACACAGCAAAAGATCTGTAGTACAGAAGGTATTAAAATTCATAGTCTATCAATTTTAAATTTCCCTTTATCTGCAATTGTATAATACATATAGTAAAACTATAGTTTAAGATTGCACTTTTCACGAGAAATACACAGTTTCTCTGGAATATAATTTTCTGATTACATATACATCATCCGTACGACTGTCGTATGAAAAATAATGAATTTCGTAACTTAAATTATTTTCCAGTACAAGTGAAACAGTTGCACAGTTATTTCATGCATTTTACAATAGCTATTATCCACATCGGAAACAGTATGTTGAACAGAAATATTTGCATAAAAGTAAATTTATAAGCAAATTGATATTATAAACAATCCATCCATTTTTTTTCACAAGGTGTGAATCCTTCGTAGCAATACAAACAGCAATCTCACGCTTTTCCTCATCCATATGCATAATTCAAGGTCTTTTGAAGGTTGCACGAGAAAAGAAAATTTGATTTCTTTGCTCTCATTTCCCATGATTCATGGTATCTAGAATTCCATTAAACGAATTCCATATTTAAAGAAGTTTGCCTAAGTGGTTCATAAAAAATATAAATCGTACGAAGGAATAAACTAATAGTTAATCCTACATGATATTTACTTATTTTACTTGTTCATTTGTTCAAGATCGCATCAACCCTGCGATTATTAGCGAAAACAACGACCGTATACATAATATCTAATACGTAATATATAACATACATAATACATAACGCATAATGAATTAACGATATAGCAATACGGCAGTATATTAGATTGCAGATTTTTGAGCGAATTACAATCAAGCAAATAAGTAGTAGAACCTCGGTAAAAAATTGCTTTATCTACCAAATATTACAAAAAGTACTGTACCTTGGATATATCATATATTTTATTATATTATATGCATTCTGTGCAATATTGCATTTTAAATGTCCCATAAATGTATAAAAATCAGCGGTCTAATTGATTATAAGCGAATATATGTATACACGCATAGCGGTTACTACATAGTCGGATAAGCTCAGTTTACAATGTTATATCCCAATGTTATCCCACGTAGTTATGTTTTTAAGAAAGCATAGAATAGTTTTGCAGAGTTTTTGATTGTTAAAAACTAAATGAAACTGAAGCGAGAGATAAAATTCAGTCCTTTTGTGCAAGACATTTTTGCAGTTCGATAGACGGTCCATTAAGAAGATACCATTGTGATAGTTGCTCTTTTGCATCGCTTCTGGTTAGAAAGCGTGAATGTGTTACGTGGCTTTTTCGTCAATCGACCTTAGTGTTCGATAATCAATTTTTGCGCGACCGTTTTCTTCTGTATACTGTTTACTAGTCTGTACAGTGGTAAATATTTACTTCAACGTAAATTAGATAGAGGAAGGACACACGGGGATAAAGGAAAAGTAGGATGAGAGATTGTAAAATCAAAGCAAATACACGTGTCGAATGGTACGAACTTTTTGGAGTTCGGACGCAATGCGATTTTCCAGGAAAGTTGCGGCCGTGGCAGCGACGGTGGCGGCGGCGGGAAATTCCCCGGGCCGAGCGAATTGGTCTCCATGGAAACCACCCCAAAGCCAATCCGGGGTACATTCGTACGTACATTTACCCTTGTCGAGGCGCGTCTGCAACACTCCCCTTACTCCGCTCTCTCTTCATAAACTTGCTTCCCTTTTCGCCCCTCTCGACTCTTCCGTATTGTCCCCCTTCTCCGCATCCCGAGCTCTCCTTCTCCCTTTCTCCCGTTATCTGCTTCACTCCACCATCTTGCTCCCTTTTATTTTATTTTTCTCTCGCGTCTCTTTGTTCCGCTATAATCTTCCTACCCGATTTCTTTTTTATCTTCATAACCATCCTATTTCTCTATCGTTTCGTTTTATTTTACGTTCTTTTTACGCCTCCTCTTCCTTCCTCCTTTCACTTTTCCGCGTTCACTTTCCTTCGTCGCGTTCCAAACCAAACCAGTAAGAAACGAGTCGCCTATTTGTCAACCCCGCGAAACAAAAAACGGGGGAAATTGATGAATTATACGAGATCGATCAAATCGATGAAACGTTTTTGCGCTGAGATCCAACAGATTTCAAAAAGTGGAGTTACCACTTTCGCCCGTGAGCTTGATGCCCGTGAGCGTGACATTTATTTGAAATTCGATTTATATATTATTACGTAGTAATTAATCATTTCAATCCTGTAAAGCAGTAACGAAGGTATTAAAATTTATGTAATAGGTAGCGAATGTAATTTATTTTTCAATATTTGTCGTCAATGCTCTTCTTACGTAATAAAAAGTGTCTGGTAATGAGGGATTTCAATCGAATCGCTGTCCTTAAGAAGGAAATAATAAGAAGAAATTTCCTTTGTTGAAAATATCGTAAGCACGATTGTATTTTACCTCTCATAATATTGATCATAGCTAGTAAACGTTAGATATTTAAGTTACATTTCCATTGTTATATATCAAACAATAGAAGCTATATATGAATACAATAAAATAACAATTACAATAAAATTAAATGTTTATGTATATATACTTTTTTGAATTCTTACTAATTATATTTTTATTATCATCTTTTAATATTTTCCTTCTGCTGCAATAACATTCGCATATTCTTCCAGCTTTTTTATTTTCTTTTGTCACTCAATAACATTTATGTTTTTGCGTTTCAGATCAACTTTCTTTTAGCTATTTCTTTCATGTAGCATTTTGCAATTCTCTTTCTCGTTTCACAGTATCTAACATGTTCTTCTTTACTTCTTTTTCGTCAGTTTCTGACGTTAGAGACGCCACGTCAGCGACGACGCCAGCGGCGCGGCGCGCGTCGTCCAGCAGATTGCCTGGCACGATGCAGCCTTATAGACGCCGCGTCGTTGCGTGTCTGATTGCTCGAGGCCCTGCGTTTAATCGAACAGTGACGCCGAAGAGGGCTTCTATGACATTTGATAAGCTCCTTTTCTTTCTCTATCTACACTTGCGTTCTATTCTTACCTCTACGCAAATATTCTTTATGCATTTGACAATTATTGACAGAAAGATCTCGTTTTATTAGCTTCGTTGCCATATTGCTTCTTTAAAATTAACAGAAACAATTAACGATAGAAGGAGGAGATGAGTTTCCATTAGTAGAAAAGCACATAATTAATCGCGTACATATTCGGATACGGCACTATCTGTCTTGCCGCGTATAAGAAATGATTTTTAAACATCGTGTTAAGGTCCTTTTCTTTGTACGAGTATTTCCTATAATGATACCTTCTCGTATCGTCTTGTATCGAATAACATTTACTACGGTACTTTTCTTCGTTACGAATAATTGTACAATTTTGCGATAAATTTTTCCCCTTGTCTTTATAATAATGGATATACAGTGGCCCAACTGAATATTAAACTGAAAAGTAACGCGAGCGTTGAAATACTTTCGCGAACCTCATAAGACGCTATGTAGATACAAAGTCCTTAAGTACCAATCCCGTATACGTTGACAGATTTTCTTTTAATATTCACTATACATTCCTTAGAACTTGTTTCTTCGTTTAATCACAATCCAGGTTTCAGAACTTAAGATTAACGTGTGTTGTTTGTTTGTTAGCAGTTTAGAGCGTAAACGTTCGAATATTTTCGTAAGCGGCTGTATATAAGTGTACATGGATGAAGCATAAATCCTCCACAGCTGTCTAGCTCAACGCGTCAGCTACCTCTGCTGTGCTCGTTTCCCTGGTCCTTCTTTCCCTAATGGCAAGAGGTAACCGTCCAGGACAGTGCGTCATCGGACTGTCGACCTGGTACGATACAGCTTCTGGCTGTGTGGTCCGCGGTATCGTAGGGATAACATCGCACGGTGCTATTTGCTGGTATACTGGTCATGTGCTATTTGCCGAATGTGATTCTCCAGAAATCAGTGGCATTGGAAGAGACGAGGCGGTAGCAGTTCCACCCTTGCGAAACCAGCCCACGAGTCTCCTTTCTGACCTGCGACTAGTTATCAAAGTACTCTTCGTTTACACAGATGCTAGGTAAGCTAGGTAAGATAGAACTTCGATGGGAACCAGATCTCCTTCATAT